CGATGTAATAATGCTAGTTACCGTTTAAAATAGACGTATAGTCTCTCATCCACTTGCCGATCTAGTTGACTCTTTGGTGTTAGTGAGAAATTTGCAGATATTTTACTTCGTTAGGAAAATTTAATGCACTCGAGACCGGTTAAGATACAGCTAAACCTACACTCCTTTCATTTGTGCATCAATAATTACTTCTTACGTGTATGCGTTTCTCAGAGCGCGCGGGACAAAGAGATCTTTAAGGTAAAAGGAGTAAATTTGTGGTCTCTTTGGTCCACATAATAATGTGGGGACATCAGTTCTGTAGAAGGCGGTTGAGGACATCTTTTACAAAACAAAAACTTGTTAATCCTTTCTATACCATTTACAAAAATTTAAAATTTTTCTTTTGGCAGAGGGTATAAGCGTAGAAGAAGTCGCCATGGAAGATATCCCTGATACAAATCCAAGAGAAAAGGCGAGTTTCTTCTCGCTGATAACTTTCTCTTGGTTGAATGATATTCTCAAGCTCGGTAGTAAACAACCCCTGGACGAAAGCTTGTTATTCCCGGCAGGAACTTCTAATAAAGCAGAAAGACTAGTGACTGAACTGGAACGAGAATGGCTTGCGGAGCAAAGAGCAACTGCACACCAAGGAACGAAGCCTCGCTTGTGGAGGGCCATGATGAGAACCATTTCCCGCCGAGATTACATCATTTTGGCATTCCTGAGGCTTTGTTACACGCTGACATTCCATGCACTACCTCTGTTGATATGGTACTTCTTGAGAAGTATTTCCACAGGATCAGGAATCAGTTACAAGACATCTTTCCCCTTTGTCATTGGTATTTCTCTGCTCACCATTATGAGAACGGTTGTGGTGGGCCAGGCCGTATTTAAGACGGAGGTTTTAGCAATAAGACTTAAAGTTGCCGTGATAGGACTCGTGTATAAGAAGGTGGGCAAAATAGTGATTTTGGAAGTTATCGCTTATGACGGCCATTGAATTTTCTAGTTCAGTGATATCGGCGAATCTGTTTTCCATGAGATTTTGTTGCATGGAGGATCCATGACAACCTTCGTGAACTGAGTTATTTATGAGGTAGCATTTGTTTCGTAACAACTTTTGAGATCGATCATTATAATAGGGAGCTTCAGCGTCGATGACGACGCAGAATAATGTTCGTGACTTTCGGCGAAAAAAAAAGTCAGGAAAAAACTTGCGTCACTTAATAACATCATGGGCTGAGGTCCATTGAAAATATTTGTTCCTCTGAAATCACAGAAAAGTGGAGTTTTGGAGGTAATCTTGTGATAATTTAAAGAGCTTTATACTCTAGAAAGACAGGCTAAAATAAGTTACTGACCGGTACGGAGCAATGGCACATTTATAGCCATGATACTTACGCTTTCAAAACGTAATTAAAATTAACTTCGTGGTGTCGAATTTCCTAGAAAAGATATATCACTCTGTTCTTCATAAATTTTTAGAATACAAGGGTTTAATGTCTTCAAGTAATCAAGTCTGTAAAACTAAACTGAGCTCGCTGTAAACTTCGGGTTTACTCCCGGGTCTTTGACACGGGTAGAATTAATTGCTCTCCTTTCCCGAGTTCTGTTTACGACGACTAAAGGACGACAGCATGTTAAACAAGCGCATGCGCAGTAACTTAACAGTGTCACGAAAGGACCTCCAGCCGTTCTCGTAGTCTCATTCGTCACCGATGCTAAAGCTCTTCACCAAATACGCACTGTAATACTGGTGTAAGACCTGCCACAACTAAGTGGTTATGCTGTTATGATCTGTAAGTGTTCGAGATTCGTATGACCCACAAACTTTTAGAAATTGTTGTCATGTGCTCTTAATTAGATTACCAACTCCGCCATGTCGAATAATCTTGCGCAGCGTCCTGGTCGCTTACTCGGCTACTTCTTCTTTTCTTTTTCTATATTCCTCCTCTTCATGACTGGTTTGAAAAATTAGGAGAAACGTCAGAAGGCATCCTGCATCCACAAATTAATTTTTGCACCATACGGAGGGGC